ATGACAAGAGCATTTTGAATCAGCGAGATTATCAAGATTTAAATTCATTTCTGCAACTACCCAGATAAGCTCTGATCAAATAACAGAAGTTTCACTTGATTAAAAAAGACAGATGTTCTTAAATTAGTGGGTTGCTAAGAAAGTTCTAGCCATTTATTGACATGCGAGAGATCCCCTTAACATGACGATCTTGAGTTTTTTATGTGTTTTGTATACAGTGACCCCTTTTCAAGGAAGAAGCAACGAATTCTGCATCAAAAGAGTTTATTTGATTGTAACGGAATTTCGTATACCTTTCGTCTGACATGCAAATGAATAAATTTTCGCCGATCGTAAATAAATAGTTGGAATTATAAAGCAATTCAACTAAACATCTGGCTGTTAAATATAGGAAAATAAATTACAATGCCACAGCATCCAGCTGAGAAGTAAAACAACATTCGGATGACGAACAAAATAATATATATAAGATATATTTCATTTGATTTTGATTCTATCTACCCAAGCCAACTGCTTCGCAAACGTGTTCGTGTTGTTTACTCAAACGGACCTTCACTATCGTTTGAGAGAGAAAGTGCAAAATTTCTGGTAGCTTGACATCTGCGTTGGAGAGATAATGCTTTTTGACGATGCTGCCAGGAAAGGCTGAGATACGGTTCGAAATTTTAACCAGGACATCAATGACTGCAAAAGCCTTTGATAAGCGATTCTGAGAATTCCAGTAGGCGACTTTAAATCTTTTCTACCCACATGACGGCCATTGCCCAGACAACCCATAGACAATGTCGTCTGTGTGGGCATGGTGTCGAGCTCATTCTACCTGAAATCGCACAGATCAGAGTAGCAATATCTTCAGAGATGAGATACGACGACTAGAGAAAACATGTTTGGCCATCCAGGACAGCGACGGAATACTAGCCTAACGGTCGCAAATCACACAACCCGGCAGCAGAGAGTTACAGTTTAGTGTGCCATTTCATTTGATTAATTGGGTCTTAATGTCATCTGTGACACCTTTACAAAGCGGCGGCTTATGTGCTATTTCCCTTGTGAATTTCTTCCTTTCGAAGCACATTTCTACTGATTCTTTGTGCCTGTCAAACACGTTTCTGGTCAGCTAGATTGTCAGATCTCTCCTCAATGGAGCATGTTTAAAGTCTGATAACAGTTATCTTAAACCGTCTTATGAGATATTGAAATAGCTCGACAAATGAAGAACGTTTGGTAAGAAATCTTGCAGGATGTCGTCGGCCCACTCTACTAATGTTATAATGTCAAGCCCGAGAACAACTTGCGTAAGACCTAGAGGTAGTCCAATGTCTTCTTTATTAGAAATTATAAGAGGAATGGAAGGATATTATGCTCGTGAGATGAATGCTGGAATTCTTCTTAACATTAAACTCTTTAATGAAAGTGAAAATGAACAAGGAAAATCAGCCGTCCTGATATACTGCATATGTTGAACATATCTGAAACCACAGCAGAGGACAGAGAGTAAAGAACTTATTTGTAAACATGCTAACCTTCAGGTGAAATAGAAACAGATAAAGAACAGAAGATATCTCAACCTTCATCATTTGTGATGAAATTTAAACTTAGCTGGATAGTTGAAAAAAAAAGTGTTCAAATAATAGGACTGATGTCAGAGGAATACATCTGCCAATAACTTGCTCCAATATATCCAGGTACAACATACAACAAAGTATCTAAAGAAGCTGAAAAATAGATATGGAAGAAAATAATGTCGAAATAATAATATAATAACGTCAAAATAATAAATATAATTAAAAAATAGAGCATAAATGTAGCAGAATGACTTTTGTATAAGTGCTTCGTAGTTTGTGTTTAGGTGTATGACAGTCGTTCAAAATATTTCTAGAAATGCTATAAAATAATGATTTAAATAATAATAATTATAAATTTAATAAAATTTTATAAATAATAAATTTAAAATTTAATAAATTCATTTAAATTGAGTAAAAAGCGCAGGAAATAGGTTGTCGAGGAAGTTTTATTTTTATTTTTTAACAACACCTTGTAAAATATAATTTTACATGTTTATATTACCATTAAATTAGTGCAATGGTAATGGTGTTTAGTATAATATTTGCTACAGCCCATCTAATGTCATCAAAGCAGTCGTTGGCAAATGTGAACACATTAATCGACGTCTGTTATATATAAGTACAGTCATATTAAACTCATCTTTTGATCATCAGTTCCGATTTCCGTTGATCATCAGTTCCTGTTAGTAATTACGGCATCATGTTGAAAAACACATCAAAGCATCATGTTAGAAAGCATGTTAAAAATACAAACCGATTCCTTCAAAGAAACTCAAGATCTCATAGAGTTTGAGCTATTTCCCAATAAGATGTCATATTAAGACGCTTTGATGTATCTGTCGCATATCACAAGTGTTAACCCTTAAACACAGAGATGGACACTATATGACTGCGCCAATATTTTAGAACTGCGGAACTGATTATAAGTTATACAGCTTTTCTTTTCCTTTTCAGTACTTTCAAGCTAACATAAAATATAACTGTTCCTAAATTCTAATTAAACTCATTAATTTTTTTAAATATTTTTTAAAACTGAGCCGCGATCATATAGACCTCACCTCTGCGTTTACGTTACATTTTTCTGGCATGAGGGGAAGATGGCTTTATTACTTACTTGAATGTCGAACTTGTACAAGAACTTAACTCTAGAGGTTTCACATTACGTCGGTACTATGAAAAAAATACGTTACCTATCTATGTTTCAGCCTCAAGAATCCGATATGAAATGAAAGTGCTAAGAGAATTTATGAAATTGTGTTGAAAACGCTTAAAATAATGTGATGCAGTTTTTTAATATTCTTTACATATTATATTTATCTTTTATATTATTCATCTTCTGTATTATTTTATATAATCCAGATTCTGTAGATTTAAAATTTATTAAATAGTTTACTTTGTAGGCATTTGCAAGTAAGTAGTATTTATTTTATTTATTTGATTAAGTGTTCGTACTTTTTCGTATGCGATTTGAAAACTAATTTTAATGCATTAATTTAGAGCTTTAAAAAGAATTCATTACTTCACTATAACAAGCAAAGTATATTATTGTTTATATAATAACAATAGTACATTATTTTAAAATTTTATATTTTTCAAATGCATAAAATAGAGCGCGGTCTGAGAGACCCCTCCTCTGTGTCTACCTAACAGAAAATGAACGTATGTACTTAAGGGTTAAACTGTGACTTTGAAACATCAGACTTCGACTGAGATGAATGAGAATGAATGAGAACAGATATTTTTGATATTGAGCTGGTTTAATTTTCGAGGGGTGAAGCTGAGACACCTTTCTGAACAATTGCAGATATCCATAAATAAGAACAGACAGTAACTAGTTTTGCAATAAATTTACACGAAATAAGAGTTTATAGTACTTTTCTGAGTACCTATATCATTCTCAGACGTTTATCCTTCCAATAATGAATTCGTATGTTCATAATCAGTACAAAAATGATAATATGTTTAACAGCATCCATTAAATTAACAGCAGAACAGGGAAGCAATTAAATAGAAACGTCACGAGCTAAGAAGCCAGTGACAAATAAATAAATAAATAAGAAAACCCTGCTGTTCGAAAATTTAATGTGTTCTAGGCTAAATCGTACCTGCAGATTTCGAACTTAAATTCGTATTTATCTTCTAGAAAAGTCTAAAGTATTTAAACTTGAAAAGCAAAAGAGAAAATTCAAGAACAACACAGAATAATAAAAGAAATTCTTGCTTTTGAATATGTTAAATCTTTTCAGTAATCTTGCGAATGCGTCTGCGTAATAATTTTAAATTAAAAGAATATTAGCATGTCTAAAATAATGCAAATTAAAGAAAATATTAGCATGTAATAATGTAAATTAAAAAAAAATATTAGCATATCTAAAATAATGTAAATTAAAAAGGGTACCAGGCACGAATGACATTTGCTAAACTTGAAGAAGCTGTATATATCACGAAATGAATTGTGCTCCGGATTATCATTCACAAACTGGAATAAGAAAAAACCATCTAGATCAATATTAGCTGACTTCCTAATGCGAAAATGGTACATTTCCCTTCTTGGCACAGACCCAAAAATATGCAAACGCTTAAGCAAAAAGGAAATGCCTTAGTGAATTGCAACTGAAATCGAAATATTATGTTAGTGCCCGAGGGTAGAATGTTTCGCAGCTGGCACTGATTTTACAGGGATCCTTTAATAGCATACTAAGCCTTGATGTAACAATAACTACGTACGATTTGCACTTTCCTCTGCGATAGGGTATTCTGACTATGCGCTCTAAGAATTGTATTAATGCCTTAAGAATGTGGGCTGGAAAATATCTTCTCTTCAAACAATAATAACAATAATAACAACAACATAATGGTAAGAATAATTATAACGATAACAAAATTAATATTGCCTTCAGAGTCATTAAAAAAGTAAAATTACTTCCCCTTACGTACATATCGTAATCGGCTACTCATCTTGTAGAACAGTTTTCATTATTTCAAAGAAAGCTTGGCATGACTTCAAACAAATTAAAATTGTAACCTCAATGGAAATTAATTTTAACAAAATGTTGAACATCTCGCATATTAAGGGAAATAAAATATATATATATATATATATATATATATATACAAACCTAACTCGTCAGTTATTGCAGGCAATATAGTGTGATCCACTATTCTTATAAATAGATTAGGAAACTGCTTTTGGGTTTAATTAATTACGAAGCTTCTTATTATTCATAACATAATAGAACAGATGTTCATAATTAGAAGACATTTTGTGAGACTACAATTAAAATGATTATGCTTGGCCATTAATTACAAAAATTCACTGTTATTTCTGTATTGACTGCGACTACATTTACGAAGTCTCTTCTTAAATTTAATAACATAATCCCATTTTCTACAGGTATGAAAACTATTTTCCAAAAGTAAATAATTTCGTCATACCTCGTCCTTTTCCACCTGTTCGCCATTTTCCACTCGAAATCGACGAACTAAACTTTCTGAACCTTCACCATCACAGGAAGCAAGCTGAAATGAAAAATAAATATCACTGATAAAAAAATTAAATACAATAAACTTCCGATTAATCGGAGGAGGAAAGAAAAATAGTTAAGTTTGTTTATTGCTGAAAAATTACTATAGCAAGGCATCAGCGTAGAAGAGCATTCTAAGGGAGCTATGAAAGAAAACTTAATGCGTGTAGGATAACAGTAGTAGTATATGACATTTACCAGATAGACTCTGCCAAAAAAAAAAAGGTCTAATCGCCTTTTTTTAAGCCACTTCGAACTCAATTACATTGTTCAAATTAGCTTAAAAATATTGTTCTTTAATGCCATTTATAACTTAGTTTCTGCTTTTCCCATGATGTTTCTACTGACATTATTTACAGCATGTTATTTTTTGTTTAGATTACTATTTCATTACATAACCAAGTAACTTATTCTTTATATTCAATTGCTTGAAAGTACGTATAAGTAGAAATAATTCGTAAAAGGTGTTTGAAGGAAATTTAAGTACTTCTGGCATTTTATCTCAGAGCAGGAGACATGAAAAATGCACAACGATCTTGCCGGGATTCGATCTCCCGACCTTTCGATAGCTAGCCGGACGTACGTTCCAGTTACACTACATAGCAACATGACAAACAAAATACTTTACATATTCAGTAATTTTAAGAATATTAGCCACTACGAATATTTTCTCTGATGCAATTAGATTCTCTGCAATTATTATGGAATGCATTTAACTGCACAAGAAAATATTCTAAATATAATGTTCTAAATGTAGAACTATAAGTACTGGAATGTGTAAATTCAAACAATAATATGCAGAGACAGAAAACGTAGGATAAATTTAAATTAAATTAACAAAATTATCAGCAGCTTCATTGCGTATGGATTGTTTTTATTAAGGCAAAACCTTCTTTTGCTGGCTATAATTTTAACAGCTTTTATGCCAATTTGAAATGAAATCTTTAATTAACTTATGCTAAATCTTACATATTTTCTGAAGTGCTGAAGAGAAGATTACAACCATTTACAATCACTTGCATAGAGATATATGTATATATAGATGCAATCTTAAAAATGACGAATTTTGGATTCATTACAATAATATGTGTTTTTGCTAAAAAATATGTAAATTTAAATCAATACATATCTGATTTTAAAAAAATCAATATATACTTTCAACAAAATATCCAGCAGTATTCAGTAATGTATTCAGTTTACATAAGATTAGCATACAATGGATAAAAAGATATATATTTGTTATTAATAATTTATAAAGCCGTGCTCCATATGTCACAACGTTTTGAGTAAATGGAGAAAATAATACGAATTTCGGACAAATACACGTCAAAGTCTATAGCTATATAATTAAGATACAAAAGAAAAACAACAACGCATCTCGTTTGAAAATAGCATCAGAATGTGAAAATTAAAGATGAAATTATTATCTACTCCTTATTTAGCTCTCAAGGAAAGGGGAGAAACGAATGCCTTCTATTTACAGAAGTAAAGTTCATTATTCTACTAATCTATCTAATTCTCTAACCATGAAGTAAAAGCAATAAAATCAGAAAACTTTCATTTCGCTTGTTTTAATTAGTTCATGTGGTACTATTATATAAGGTATTTCTCCCGCCTTTTTGGCGAGACTTCGTGGTGTAGTGGTCTGCACGCTCAGCGCGTAATTGGTCCGCGGTTCGATTCCCGTTGAAGGCGTTGCTAATTTTTCATCTTTTCTGCTTTCAAAAAATACCTAATGTCTCTGCAGTGGCGCCCGAACTAAAAGAGTTTTGGATGATGGTTCTCCTCAGGATTTGGCGATTGGGTCCCATAAAAGCCGGAGTCGCCCTTTAAAAAGAGAAGTATATAAGGTATTTCTCCCGCCTTCTTAGCGAGCTTTTGTGGTGCAGTGGTCTGCACGCTCAACGCGTAATTGAAAGGACAGCGGTTCAATTCCCGGTTAAGGTGTTGCTCATTTTTCATCTTTCCTGCTTCCAAAAAAAAGTACCTAATGTCTCTGTAAGAAATTTTATGTGGAAATATATTTTAATCGCCAAAGAGGGCGTAAATCTTTCATGATGTATACTTCTTGTTCTTGGATCTGGCATCCTCCAGTTGAATGTGTGTTAGACTTGAATAAACTTGGCAGTTTAGAAACCTGATTTGTAGTGTTCATGTATCTTGATGTTATGTGTGATTCGAATTAGTGTTTTTTGAACTAAGATATCTTGCAATTCTTGACAGTTAATATAATATTTTATACTTTTGGCGCCCAACAGTGCGCACGAACATTTTTTTTTTTTTTTTTTGATTTAGAATGTGGCGTTTTTCGTGTTAGTGAATTTATTCCTTTGCACTGAACGTGGCGGGATTAACGTTCGGAATACGTGTGAATGTACTTCACCAGGAAAGTGAGTTACCAAATTTGGATTATACCATTTGAAGACTGCAACAGGTAAGAGAATAAAAATTACTTTTGTTGTTATTATGGCAGACGATATTATTAAATTGAAATCTGCTAGAAAAGTCCTGAGGCAAGCTATTTCTAGAATAATAAATGTTGTAGAACCTGAAATTAAAAAAGACATTTTGGATAAGAATATGGTAGAAGAAAATGTGTTTTTAGTTACTTCTAAACAGTCTGCGTTAAAAGAAATTAATGAAAAAATATTGGATTGTTTTAAAGGGGATGAGTCTGAAATTGAGAAAGAATGTAATACTGTGTTAGAGTATGATGAAAAAATAAGTTTATGTATTTTTAGGGCTAAAAAGAAACTTAATTTAAATTCTCAGATAGTGAGCATTGAAAGTGAATCGCCTGGTAACCATACTGCTGCCGTAAAGGTCGAAAAAAAACTAACATTCGATTACCTAAAATTTCAATTCTTAAATTATATGGTGATCCTAGTTTATTTTTGAAAATTTTATAATTCCTTTGAAAATGCTATTGGTAATAATAATGAGTTAACAAAGGTCGAGAAGTTTACCTATCTTAAATCCTTACTCGCAGGACCTGCTTTAAGTGCAGTATCCGGGTTTGCACTATCTAATGAAAATTATGACGCTTCCGTAAGTTTAATTAAAGAAAGATTTGGACGAACAGATTTGGTAATATCTTAGCACATGAATAAAACTCTTGAATCTTGAACCGGTTAGAAGTTCGTCCAATGTGGAAGCACTAAGAACACTATACGATTCCTGTGAAATCAACATAAGATGCTTAAATTCATTGGGTATTGTGTCAGAAGCTTACGGAACCCTTTTAGGACCTGTTATTTTAAAGCTTTTACCAGACGATATGAATCTGGAGTTTAATAGAAAAAGAAACTCTAAACATCAATATAGCCTAACAGAACTTCCCGAATTCATTAGATTGGAAGTTGAGAGTCGGGAAGCTTCTAATTTAATAATAAACTCAAAGAAAAGAGACACAAATTACGGTGTTAAGCAGAATAAAAATAATTACTTAAAAGGGGCAAGTGTTCCTACTGCTTCGGCGTTAGCTACAGTGACTAAGCCGTATTGTTTCTATTGTAATCAAAATACACATGATGTAGGAAAATGTGAGAAAACAAATGAGCAAAAAAGAGCGATATTAAAATACCATGGACGTTGTTACAGATGTTATTAAGAGAGGTCATGTATCTTCCAGACGTCAAATGAAACTTCCAACATTGTGAGTTGTGTAATGGTTTAAATCATAATAAGCTATTTTGTAAAAATATTCTTCCTAAAGTGGAAGCAGTTTCAGATGTTAAACAGAAAGTAGTTACAGTATCAGATTCTAAGCAGAATGTAGTCCCTGTCGTTTAACTCTGACTGAGACTGTTTCTGAAACTGCTGATAAAGGTGTATATTTACAAACTTCCACTGTTAACGCTTCAGATACAGATAATACTAGAAGCCAAATAGTAAAAATCTTAATTGATGGTGGATCACAGAGGTCATTTATTATATCTAATTTGGCTAAAGAACTAAAATTAAGGACTTTAAAGAAAGAAAGGTTATATATTTATTCATTTGGGTATAGCCAAGGTAGACTAATAGAATATAATGTTTGTTCAAATTACTCCTGTAAAAGTATGCATTCCCTAATGACTCAATCATTATTGAAGTTCTTGCTTGTTACAGATACAATTTCTGGAGCGATCATAAAAATTCCCTCCAAAAACATTTTGGAAATATTAAAATCAGAAAATCTAAAATTAGCCGATAGTGGTGAAGCAGCTGAAATAAAAATATTGTTAGGATCTGATTCATGTTGGGAAGTGCAAACAGGCGAAAACAAAAGAGTAACTAATAAATTATTTGCGGTGTCTTCTATATTTGGTTGGTCCTTAGTTGGATCTTTAGAAGGTGATCAGTCTAGTGCCTGTATTTTTACAACTGGTGCTTCTCATTGCTTGAAGGAAGATAATAATTCCGTTAATGACTGTTTGCGAAGGTTTTGGACTCTGGACCATTTGAGATTAGAGGAGAACGAGAATCCTGACTATAAATCAGTCATTGAGAAATTTGAAAAAGAATTGCATTTTACTAATGGTAGATATGTAGCTCGTTTGTTATGGAAATCACATCATGCAAACTTGGGTAATAATTTAGAAAATTCCAAGCGACGTCTAGTATCTTTGGTTTATAAACTAAAAAGTGATGAATGTCTTAGGGCGAATTATGATAGCATAATAAACGAACAGTTAAAAAATGAAATAATTGAAGAGTGCGAAATTGAAAGTTGTGATAGTAGTAAAATGTATTACATGCCACATTCTCCAGTTGTAAGAAAAAAATGTATCAAAAACTAAAGTCTGTATCGTGTTTGACACATCTTCGAGGTGTAATGGGGTATCTCTGAACAATTGTTTGATGCCTCGCCCAAATTGAATCCTTCTGTTTTGGACTTGATATTGCGGCTCAGACAATACAAACATGCGTTCTCAGCAGACATTGAAAAGGCCTTTCTCCAGATTGTAATCTCTGAAATTGATAAAGATGTATTACGGTTTTTATACTTTGATG